AAAGTACTATTGTGCCCTTATATCTAATTTTTGTTCAACTGCATTCAGCATTTTTGCTAACTGCATTCAGCATTATGGTCAACTGCAATTAGCATTCAGACCTGCATTTATCACATTCTCAGATTTTTTTAATAAAAAATTATAAATGTTTATTTTATTATACTTTTTATATATACCTCTGTTGTATTTTTTATTTTTTTATTTTTTTATTTTTTTTTATTTTTTTAATTTTTTAAAATTGCTTAATTTTTTGTAATTTTTAATTTTAATATTTTTTTAAAAAAATTTAATTTTAATATTTTTTAAAAAATTTTAAATTTTTAAATTTTAAATTTTTAATTTTGTTTCAATTTTTTGATAAATTTACTGTATTGAAATTGAGTAGACATGACTCTTGTATATATATATTACATATGATTATATAAAAAAAACTTCATCTACACCAAAAGTAAAAATTCACAATTTAATCTTGATATTATAAATCAATTAATACCCAACAAAAAATTGGAAAAACACAATCATCAACATCACTCTGTACATCAGAAAAAACACATAACTTATATAGCTTATATATAACAATATATTACTACGAGTTACTACACGTGACTATATATGACTACACATGACTATATATGACTACACGTGACTATATATGACTACACATGACTATATATGACTACACATGACTATATATGACTACATGTATATGACTACACGTGACTATATATGACTACACATGACTATATATGACTACATGTATATGACTATACGTGACTATATATGACTACATGTATATGACTACACGTGACTATATATGACTACTATGTGACTATATATGACTACATGTATATGACCACATGTGACTTATAGTCAGATATAGTGTAGTTTGTATTTATAGCTTCAAATCCTACTTTTCAACACAACAACAATTTCAATCTATCGATTGCAAAAGAACTGCACCATGTGCTGCTGTTGGAGCAGCCTTTGGCGTTGCTGATGGAGCCTGAGACAGATCAAATCCAGCTACCAATGGCTGTCATCGCTGAATTTTTCAAGTTTTCCAGCGAACAAAAAAATTGAAAAAACACAATCATCAACATCACTATACCTTAGAAAAAACACATGTTTATATATAACTATATGTCGCTATATGTTAACACACGTGACTATATATGACTATATGTATATGACCACATGTGACTATATATGACTATATGTATATGACCACATAAGACTACATATATGACTACAATTATATGACCACATGTGACTATATAGTGTAGTTTGTATTTATAGACTCAAATACCAATTTTCAATACGACAACAACTCTAATCGGTTGCAAGAGAACTGTTTTGAATTGAAGAACACCGTCCACTTCTTACCTCCATCTCTCTCTAAAATCTCAATCTGAAGGCTCTTCCACCATTTTCTAAAAAAAGATGATGCAAGAAATGTGAATGGGCCACCCGGATTTCACCTACTAAGCCTCTCGGAGTATCTAGAACCAGATTCGAATCCTTCCACATGGCACACAAGGTTCTAGTTGGGGACACTCCTTACGTCCCTACCAAAAACATTCAAGTGAGTTTTAATTTTAATTTATTTAATAACTTTTATTTTATATATTTTTTTATGAATTTCAAAATAATTTGGTTTAAAAAAAAAACTGGTATATATATACTACCAGAAGGAACATCCTTCATCTCATCAAAATAGCAAATTCCCACTATTTAAATCAACAATCTCTAAACGCGGGGGGCAGCAGCTGGCGGCGAAAGGCGGTGGGGAGCAGCGGCGAAAGACGGTGAGTGGGTAGCAGCCGGCGGCGGAAAGCAGAGGAGCAGCGGTTGGCGGCGGAAAGCGGTGGGGAGTAGCGGCGGAAAGCGGTGATGGGGCAGCAACCAGCGGTGGAAGGCAATGGGGAGGAGCAGATCTGGCGAGAGAGGAGAAGATGGAGAGAGAGAGAGGGGGGGGAGATGTGTCGTTTGGTGGGTGTGAGACGGAAGATAGAGAAATTTAGGGAAATATGGTATTTATTGAATTTAAATTAAAAGGGTAAAACAGGTATTTCAATTTGTCTAGGGGGGTCTGTCAAATTAAGATTAGAATTTGAGTTTTTGACTAGGAAAGAAAAATCAATAGGACCTATCCATATATATTTTCAAAACTAGGGGGTTATCCCTCATTTCCCCAAAATATTATTTATGTAGGTAAAACTAATTACAATTTCGTTCCCAAAAATACAAATGAAAAAATAAAAAATTCAAAATCATAAATTTTTATAATTAGCATGAAAAAACTTGCTCCATAATAAAAAAATTCAGATCAGAAAAAAGAGAATTTATTAGGGGTGAGCAAAAAAATCGAAAAACCGAACTAAAAAACCGAAAAACCGAGCCGTTTCAAACCGTACCGAATAGCAAACCGCATGTACGGTTTTTTATTTTTGAAATACCGAATTATTCGGTTCAGTATGGTGGAAAGGTAAATAACCGAACTGGAAAACCGAATCGAACCGAAACTATAAAATGACTTTATTTTATATAATACATGTATTATTTTATCCTAATTTTTATTTTCTATCTTTCAATTACTTGTCTCATTCTAAGCATTTGTTCATAAATTGAGACATTGCATTTTATTTATTTAGTAATTAAAAATTTACTTGAGTTCATGGTTTTAATAATGTGGTAGATGAAAGTAGGAAAAAAAATGAAGCATAATACATCATCTAAATTACGTTAAGTCCTATGGGATTAAAGATTTTATATTTTCATTGCATTAGTAAGTTGTGAAAGTAATTGTAATTGTATTCTTTTGTTTGTACAACTTAAATATATAGTTACTCTTGAACTGAAAAATAACTGAAACCGAACCGGAAAAAAACCAAAACTGAAAGAAACCAAACCGATAAAAAACCGACATACACGATTTTTAATTTTACAAAAACCGATATATTCGGTTCATGTTCGATTTTAGCCAAAAACCGAAGCGACCGACCCGTGCACACCCCTAGAATTTATAGCTTTATACATACTCCTAAACCTTGTAAACATGCTATTTTTTAGATTAGAATAGGTTTAGCTCATTTTCAGCGGAAATAAGGAATACTCTTTCCTTGAGCGGAACAAGGGTTTAACGAGACCCCTTTGCAATTTTCCTCATTCTCAATAAAATAAACTTTCGGGCAAAAAAAAAAGCAAAAAAAACTAACTTCTTGAGGGGTCTCAATTAGGGCTGGCAATGAGGACATGTGAGCCGAGTTTGGGTTGACTCAAACTTACATATCCTCAACCTTGTTACTATGTGCTTAAGATCACATACCATCGGGTCTCATTAGTATAGCATCAAGCTCGACTCATGTATTTTTTCGAGTTTATATCGGGTCTTATTACTATAGTAAAAAAAATGATGAAAAATAAGTGATAAACAAGATTTACGTTCATTGAAGCCGATTCAAAGAAATTATAAGCGATCTTTGCAGGTTATTGGAAAAACATAGAAACAAGATAGGAAGAAGTAAAAAAAAGGATTAATATATCTTATCATTAAAAATAATTTATATTTTCAAATATCGATGATAAATTTCAGCAATTGAGTTTTGGTCAATATGAACCAACGCCACCACTTAAATTCTTTTTTTTTTTTTACAAAATAAAATAATCTTATATGATTGTAACTTGTATCTTGAGTCATATCATTAAAATAACATATATGTATTAACTTAATCGGTTGAGCCTTATTCAAGTTGAGACATCATATGTTTAAACTCAGCTCATAAATAAATCAGGTTTAGTAAAAAAACTCAAACTCAATCTGGCTCACAAAACAATAGATTCGGCTCAAATATAATCGAACCGAACCATCAGGCTTCGGTTAGGTCAAGTTCAATTGTGTGGTCCTAGTTTCAATATTAATAAGTGGCATTAATTAACTATGTACTAGCACTAAGCGAATAAATAAGCTCACACATACATGCACACACTTAGGGTTGGGCATGAACCGGTTTTATCGGCCAACCGATTCACTTCCGACTCACTTCTTTCGACCGATAATTTTGTTGTAGGGCAAGTAATTTTAACTGACCCATATTTAAATAGATTAATCGGTGGTTTTCAATTTACTCAAAAGTCAGTTGGTCGGGTAATATTGGCCAACCAACTTTTTTAATTATAAATATTTACTTGTAATTCAAAAACTCAAAACACAAATTTAGAAACTTATCCATATTGTTTCTATTTTTATAATTCTTATTTCATATTCTTTATTATATATTTACTTATTGTAGAAGTTTATAAATAAAAAACTCTTAATTTAAAGTTAAGATTTTTACTAACATAAGTTTTTCCAAATTATTGAATATCATTGGAAAAACTTTTACAAACATCTTATTATTGTAAAAAGAATAATAAAAAGTTAAAAAAAAATAAAAAAAAAAATTAATATATGGCCGCCAGCCAACCACCCATTGTTTACCCATACTGTTTCTATTTTTATAATTCTTATTTCATATTCTTTATTATATATTTACCCATTGTTTACCCATACTGTTTCTATTTTAATAATTCTTATTTCATATTCTTTATTATATATTTACTTATCGTAGAAGTTTAATAAATAAATAAAACTCTTAATTTTAAAGTTAAGATTTTTACTAACATAAGTTTTTCCAAATTATTGAATATCATTGGAAAAACTTTTAAAAACATCTTATTATTAAAAAAAAAAAAAAAAAAAAAAAATAGAGGCCGCCAACCAACCACCCATTGTTTACCCGCCGCCAAAATCGGTTGCCAACCATTACCCGACCGACTATGGTCGGGCCAGTAATGGTTTTCAATTTTCAGCAAAATCAGGTGGTCGGGTCGGGTAGGTAATTTCCCAATAATTACCCAATCCGACCCATGCCCAGCCCTACACACATTCATACTAAAGAGGAAAACTCTTCAATTTGAAATAGCATTTTGATTTTAGGAAAGGAAATCGAAAAACACCTTGACGTAAAGACAATACATAGTTTACCATTCACAAACAACAAGAAGACATTATCTGTAACGGGAGTAACTATAGAGAAACTACTTCAAAATTGCTCTTAGTGCGAGCTTTACGATAGCCTTATCACATCCCCGATCCATCAAGTTTACTTCTCCAACCACCAAATTGCAATTTCGTAACTGGTTAAAATGGTCACTATATCCAATAGTGAATTCTTTAACTACTTACAAGAAGGGCAATTAATTGCATAGAGAGAGAGAGAATAAAGCAAAAAAGCACAAACCTTGTAGTTTGACTATTCGAATTCGGTGGACTCCATATTCAGGGTGCACGTAACTAAGTTCGGGCCAGGTATATAAAGCGCTTTATATCCAAAACTAGCACCTATAAGTCCACATTCCTTTTCGTCATCATCACTATCAACATCTCTCGGATTCACCCGATTCTGATAACTCCTCCGCTCGATAAGGAAAACATTAAAATAATAGCTAACTAAATTTTCCCTCGTTTTTAAAGGTAACGACTTGGGAGCATTCTTCCAGAACTTGTTAGAGAAAGGAGCGTACGACCTCGTCATACACTTGAATCTCTTCACCTCTTCTTCGGTCCAGAAAAGCGAAACCTCCTCTCCCATGTGATTAAACCGCCAATTGTAGAACAGGAAATTACCGAGTTCGAGTTTTAATTTTAGCCTCTTCTCGGCTATATGAAACCTAACACATTCAACGGAATCTTGAAACGGGCAGTTGCATGAATGATGTTGTCTTCCTTTCCCGATGCCGTCCGATCTGACTACGGAGTTTTTGTCACCATCTTGCGGGGCCCACATTCTTTTACCGAGCCACTTAGGATCACTCTCAGACAGCTTGCCAGTCCATTCAGGGACTTCAGCTTGGAAAAGAGGGCCCACGGAAACTTTGGACTTGTGATCATTTAAGTATTTAGGTAGCTCATCAATATCCGTGAGAACTGATTTCACTTGCTCGATCGGGCTACTTGGAGCATCTGCTTCTTCTTGATGAGGGGTACCTTTACTTTGAGGGTCTTTTTGATGAGTGATGTTTTTACTTTGAGGGATGTTTTGACGAGTGGCGTTTTTACTTTGAGGGCTATTTTGATGGGTGATATCTTTACTTTGAGGGGGTGCACGTGAAATGCAGCATGGGCATAAGTAAGATTTTGTCGAAGAAGATATCCTCTTACTGCATCTTAGTTTCTCCGTAGATTGGTGATCAAGAATATCGTCATCTTCGTACATTGAAGGATGCATCCTTGGCTTCTTCTGCTGATCCTGTTTCAGGCCATGACAGGTTCAATGAAAAGTTAGAAGCTACTCATATCAATCAGTAATTCATCGAAAAAAAAATATATATATCAAAATGAGAAGAGTCGAAACTGGAAAAAATAGTTCAAGTTACAAGAAAAGTCACAGCAATGGCAAATTTTGTTCTACAGAAACCCTATCATTTTTTTCAAAATCAAGAAAATTTTAACTTGGTCAAGGAAAATAGTGATAGATACTTTAATTTTGAAAGAGAAAGAAAATAGAATTGAAATGACTATAACGAATAATTCGTAAATCACAGCTCAACCACCAATGTATCCACATTCAACTGTTTATGAAAACAAGGGCAAACAGACGGATAGCAAATTACCAGTAGGCTTCTTTCCAGGGACTGAAAAGACATTCAAAAAGTTAAACTGGTCTATGTAATTGTTAGAGAGTTGTCTCCATAGGAATGGAAAGAGTTAGGTGATTTTATCAGATGATCATTTACTAGCCGTTCATCAGTTGATTTGAGTGGTTTGTGATTCCAAAAGGTACCTCATACACTAGCAAATCTTTCTCAATATATTCAGAAAGTAAAACTTATTCCTTATTCGAAGATTAAACATATGGAGATAAATTGTCTTTAACACTTTCTTTATGAACAAAGCTAACCTTACATAATCTAGAAGACATTGTCGAGGCAAAACGAAAACAGCCATCATATAAAGTAAAAAGTATAAACCATCACCGCATTATCACTCATTTTTCTCCCTTTTAAAGTGCCTTCATTTTAATGCTTCTCTCTCCTGGCGCAATACTTTCAAAAAACATGTGTTGTTCAACAAAAATCGTACTCCAGCATGATTGATAACGGCCCAACAACAATGAATATTTGGGTAAATTACGGCCACCCCCTGAGGTAAGGTCAAATTACGAAAAAAACCCTCGAGTTTCGGTAATTACAATCATCCCTTGAATCTTCTTACACGTTCACCTTTATGGTGTCAAATTCAACATAATCTTCTAGATTCCGTGGAATGTTCTCTAGTTTGAACTCGTTTTGTGCAAAAATGCAGTTTCTGATGCACAATGCACCACAATCTGATATTTACAAGCCAAGAGACACATTTGATAATCATCTTGTTTCAAAATGTGGAGCTCGAATGGGGTAAAACGAGTACAAATTAGACAATATTCCACATAATCTAGGAGGTTCAACATTATTGCCCAACAACAACAAATATTTGGGTAAAATACGGCCACCCCCGAGGTAAGGTCAAATTACAAAAACTCCCTTCTTGTTTTGGTAATTACAACCATCCTCTCAAATATGAATCTTCTTACACGTCCATTCAAATGGTGTTAAATTCAACATAATCTTCTATATTCCGTGGAATGTTCTCTAATTTGAACTTGTTTTGTGCAGAAATGAAGTTTTGATGCACCACAATCTGATATTTACAAGCCAAGAGACACATTTATAATCATCTTGTTTCAAAATGTGGAGCTCGAATGGGGTAAAACAGGTACAAACTGGAGAACATTCCACATAATCTAGGAGATTCCACTAAATTTGACACTATAAGGTTGGGCGTGTAAGAAGATTCATAGTTGAGGGGTGGATGTAATTACCCAAACAGTAGGCATGATCTGATTAAAGTGTTTTACGGTTAGAGATAATCAGGTTTAAGTTGCAGTTTTTCAGTTACATTAGCTCCTGATCCGTTTTTCGCCTAATGAACACACTGTGTCAAGTCAATTCTGCTGAGATCGTGTTCGTAAGAGATCGAACCCATGTTCATCTCTGTGGAGAAAGAAGATGAATGAACCATGTTGAATATGATATTCTGATATTACTGCATTCTTAAAAACAATTCCCCGATCTTATAAAGATTTATATAATAAAAGATGGCTCGTGTATAATAAGTTTAGGCAGAGGAGCAAACTACCTAGACATCTACGCCAGACAACTAACATCCATTAAACCTCCCCTTCCTCGAATGAAAAAAGAAGAAAACGAAAAGGATGACTATACCAAATTCTCGAAATCTATAAAAATTTCATCATGTATATTACATACATAAAATCACCACAAATAATCAAAGAATAGATAAAACATTTACCTTCACGAGAGTTTCACCCGTATCTCTTTTAGCATGCTTTTTTATCAGCAATCCTTCTCGAACTAACATAGCTCGAGCCCAGAATTCCTCATTCACATAGTCACGCCACGTCGAGCATTCTGGTATCAACCCGACTGAAGGATCATCCGAATGTTTTGCGGCATGGATCAACCAGTTCAGCATTTCCGAAAAGGACTCCGATTCCCGTTTTCTTTTCCGAGATTCCAATACATTCCCAATGCCACTTGTCACTGGAACAGTATCACTAATCTCCTGTCGAGAACTTAATATCACTTCATCACCAGTGTTTTCCTCAAAATGATCGTGTCTTTTACGAAGGACTTCCTTAACGACTCTCTTCGTTGATGTGGAATCATCATTGTTGTCATGGACAGGAAATCTTTCTGTGCCATCATCATCGTAATTATCAGTGGCAAAACCGTTATTTTCTCCACAATCAAGGACTTCTTCGATAATTTTCTCAACGACTTTCTTGGCGGGTGCCACGATGTTACCACGGTCTCCGTTGCAAGATTTTCCACTGTCATCACGGGTTAGTCCTTTAGAAAAGTGATTTGTTTCTTTCACGGCATTTTCAACTACCTTCTTGGCCGATGCAGCCGAATCATCGTTCCCATTTGGAGAAATATGTAACTCAGCCTCGTTAATATCTCGAGCTTTGTGTGCCCTGTCCTTGTTATCTCTCCGAAGCTTACGGTCTTTTCTTCGCTTCTGCTTGTCCGACAAACCTCTTGACCTACTTTCCAATTCGTGAGACAGTAAATCCAAATTCTGGACGAGTCTACTATACCCGTCCTCAAAAAATCTCTTGCTAAAGACTTGCCCCAACCATTCATCCAACTCGTTCAAATACTTCATATAAATCAATTTAACGGACGGAATCATCACCCCTAACCCTAATCCACATTCTTCCGAAACAAAACCCCACAAGTTATTTCTCGAAACAGTGTCGTACCCGCCAATCTTCCTCACTACCCAAAAAAGTTTATATAAATCGACCCGACGCCCATCCCCGCATAATACTGGAGTAGGCCTCACGCATTTGCTGGCGGATTTCTCTCTCATAAAAGCAACAAGCACTTGGTCAAACAAACTCCTTAATCTCTCCTTAGACGAATCGAAACGGAACTTCTCTATATGAAAATCGAGATCGAATGCGACACCGAATTTTCCATTGTCTTTTTCATTATCAACACCATCATTTTCATCATCATCATCATCATTATCAACAACAACAACATCTCTCAATTCAGTCCATTCTTCCATGAAAACCTCGATTTTTCGTACCTCCGCCTAAAAATTCTCCGGAATTCGCTTATTTTCACTCTGGAGATAGCAAATTGGATACAACAACATAATTAAAGAACAATCATTAGAAAAAAAAAAAAAAAAAAAAAAAGCGAATGATTAAACAAATTGGATACATGCAGCACATATACATATACACATACATATAAATGCTGTCATTTGTATGTAAAAAACCTAAAAACAAATTCTACCTTGTTTATAGTTTCAACGGCAATGGAGAAAAACGGCAGCGGCGTATGCGCTGTAAAATTACAGAGAATAGATTGCGGCGGAAGAATTCAGGGCGGCGCAATTTGTAAGGTGTGTATTTATAGCAGTGAATTTATGAATTTGACCAGCTATCTCAAATCTGGCAAACTGCACCAGATTATTTGAATTTTTTTTCAAAGATTACAGAAAATGGGAGCCAAAATCGAAATCAGGTGAAATTGGATGAAGGTATTGCTAATTACGAATATTAATTTGAATGGAAAACTCTCAATTGCTTTTAGAAAATTCCTAGGTTTAATCAATCATAACAAAGAATAACAAAATAATAATAATAATAACCCCCAACCCTAATTCTTGTCTAGGTTTAATGATTTTATAAGATGTATGTATGACTAGTGGAAATGTTATGAATGTTTACTAGGACTTTGTTTTATGTGAGAGGTGGAAATTCGATGGACGGGAACGGATCGTAATTAGTACTTTCGAGAAATTTCAATTTTTTCGGAAGTGAATTTTTTTTCGGAAGTGAAAAGCTAATTTTAGTTATGTTGGGACAACGAAAATTAATTTTCGGAATTGTGATGAAAAAACTTGTTTGTTAGATTGGAAATCGTCCGATTGGAATCGGCGGACTTCGAGATTTCCAAAATTTCTAGTTACCTATAGTATAAATAAATAATAATTTTGATAGGTGTAAGTTTCGGAGAAAATTGTAGAATTTTTGGAAATTAAAATAGGATCGAAAATCGAGATTTTATATGCATTCCAACTCCGTTCCAAGAAAAAAATGAAAAATTCGGAAATCATAACTTTTGGAATTCGAAAGAAAAAATATTGTTTCAAAATCGAAAATAATCTTATCGGAATCGACAAAAATTCGTAACGATTCAGGTGTGCGCGGTTTAGTTCGGCTCGGGGTTTTGCTACAGCCTATCATGAATCAAGTATATCAATTTTGTGAGATTAAAAACCATACACATGTTGGGAGTCGATGCGCACATACTCAATGGAAACATTTATTTTTTACTTAAAGACACATACAAGCATATATGATAATCCGGCGAGGGGCAACGGCGGCGGCGCGTGGTGGCTTGGGTGTGCAGCCGAGAGGGGGAGCGCCTAGGGTTTTAAGGGGAGTTACTTCAACTCCTGTGAAACATGTATTTATGCTAGGGTTATTAACCTAGTGGGCTTACGTACTGGACCGGGTCCATTAAGCCGTTAGGTCTACTTCTTCGTATGCTTCGTTTTTAACAAATGATTGATTAGGAAAATGTAATAATTACATGTTTGTGACGAGCATAAAATTTTCGTCAGTATGAGTGCCACTTGAAATTTCCCAATTTCCAAAATTGGAAATTTTTAGTTACTCGCCTGCTAAATTAATTTTTTTTTCTCAATTTAGAAAGTTAAATTTCCGCATGCATATTTCTCACTATTTATTCCAATAGGTAATAAACGATTATGAACATTGGATCTAACCATATCGACCTCCAATTATGCAAAGATCAACAGTTTGATCTTATCTCGTTGTATTCTAGATCTCTAGTACACGAAAACTGCGACTCTCAATGGTTCAAGTATAAGTTCTAATTGTAGGCTAATAACTCTTTGTGATTCGAACAACACATTGTTCTTATACGAACTCGTCCCTAGAGTCCTCAATTAAGATAACTCATTTAATTTAATCGTCGATTAAATCGGGGAATGCTCAACTAATCAAGATTGACGTGTACCAACTACGCATCATTATTGCATAGATTTAAATGAATTGCCTGCAAAAACATGTGATATAGTTAGCGTACAGTACGATCCGTCCGACGCATATGTCCCGATCGAACTAGATGCATAATATCCATCAAGACCTCTACTAAAGTTCAATAATCGTGCGAACATTCTAAGTAATATAATTCGTTCGTATGTGACTAATCACCCCACTATCAGCTATGGCCAGAGACTCCATAGATTATAAACCATGACTAATCAAGCGCTCGAATTCCCACCGCACAGACTTCACACTAGATGTGGGATTGTGCGAACATTGGCGTTTGGAGCGGTCTTCGATGAGACTAATGGACAAGTCATGACACAACTTGTCGTGGTGAAACCACAGTGATGTCTGAGTCTAAAAGATTAATAATGTACAACTGTACCATAGAACCTCTAGTCTATAATTTAGAACTACTTAAAGATTTCTATGACGAGACAGTTCAGTGAACTCATCTGTATGATCACCGACTCAAACTTAAGAAATCAAAGTTCTTATAAAGAAACCAAAATAGGTTTATAACAACAACTAAAGAATTAATATATAAAGAAACCAAAATAGATTTATAACAACAACTAAAAATTAATATATAAAGAAACCAAAGTAAATTTGAAGCAACAAAAAAATGTTTACAAGGTACAATGTTATATTTTATGATAATTTGTCATTAAACATAATCTTATTATATTGTATAATTAACTTATACAAGTATTCTACGCGTAAGTTGCACGGGATGTTGAGAATATTATTATATTAAAAATGAAAAAGAACTGGAAAATCATGAGTGTTGATGTACATAATGTTATGTAAAAATTTATTGTCATGTTGTAAAGTTACTTAAAAGAAAATACATAAGAGCTAAAAGTAAGAAAAAAACTATAATTAAAAAATGCTATTCTATAAGGGTTAATATGCTAGAGGTCCCTAGTTGAAAACACAATTAGATAATATTAGACCTTTATTACTTCACGATAGGATTGGAATTCCTCAGTTTCGTAGATTTTCAAGAAGCAAATGAGGGCGCAAATTAAAAGCAAGGCAGGCTGGTGGAATTGGCAAGCAAATGCATTTTTACTAGCAACTTGGGTGGGGGTCATTCTAGCAATTCCAGCAAATATTGGGATAATGATGGTGAATAGGAAGAGCATTGTTCGTCAGGTGATAATGGAAGTTGGCAAAGAAGATATTTTGGATAATTACATTAGTGGCAACAAATGGGGGCAATTATGTTATTTTCGTTTTTTTAGCTTTATTAGGCAGCTTTATAGTTTATTTCATTTTAGCCCCATTTTAGGGCCTTTTTGTATTAGAAAGGTTAGGGTTGCCCCAGACTTTTTATTACCATTGTAGGGGTACTCTTTTACCTTGTGTAGGCCCACAAGGTTTTTAACGAGGCCCCAAGTCTTTCGATAATAATGGAATAATAAAGTTTTTTTCGGCCAAAAAAAAAAAAAAAAAAAAAAAAAAAAATTATTCTTTTTTAATCTCAAATTTGCCCTCAACTTAAATCCATAAATTCCACACGTTTTTCCCAGATCTATTTTTCTTATTTTCTTCCCTTCTCTCTCTCGCGTTTTCTTTCTCTCGTTCTCCCTCTCTCGTTTCTCTTTCTCTCTTTCTGCCTCCCTTGTTCCCTTTCTCGTTTCTCTTTCTCTCGCTCTCCCTCTCTGAAAGAATTTATGGTCCCGAATTCGTTTAAAACAGAGATGTTATCTGAAGTGTTATGACACTTGATAAAACATGCAGCGGAAATATAGAGATAAATATGCAATACTCAGATTTAAAAATGTTCACAAGTAAAGACTTGTGAACTTGCCATTTACAGGACGGAAAAATATATATTAAAAACAGTATTCCAAGAATACAAACAGAAGAGGTGCGAAAACTTCTTCCTTATGAATGAATCATTCTCATGATCATTCTTACAATCAAATCTTGATACAAAAAGAGAAATATTAAAAATTCTAGATTTCAAAGAATGTACTCTTAAGGAGTACGTACAACAGATCCTAGAAACACACTAAAACTCCCGTGGATAAAACTTCAGCACTCGTTTTTTTTGTTTCTTCGAAATCTGTACTTTTCTTGTGTCTTGAGTTTGGTATTTATAGACTTTCCAAGCTTCCACTTCTCAGCCCATGATCTGCAAGTAAACCAACTTCAAGAGCACTCAAGAAAATGGGTTAGTGGGTTAGTTAGGAAGTTATAATAAAAACCACAATTAAACCCACTAAGCACTACTTAGCCCACTAAGTCATAGCACTTAGCCCACTAAGTCATAACTAAAATTTAGTTTGAAAGTAAGAGAGTTAAAAAACACTTTTGTATAAAGACCAACGTGTTTCACTCTCCATCACTTTTCACCATTGTTGAGGGGGCGGTGGAGGGACGTTAATAAAGGGATGATTATGGAGGCAGGAGGTTACGACGACTATGGTGATGGAGGTCAGATCTATGGTGGATGGTGGCTAGGTTTTAATTTGGTCGACGGCTATGGCGGCTAGGGTTGGTGGACGACTAGGTTTTTGAAGGTAGGGTAGGGTTTTTTTTTTTTTTTTGTCGACGGCTATGGCGGCTAGGGTTTAATTTGGTCGATGGCTAGGGTTGGTGGACGACTAGGTTTTTGCAGGTAGGGTTTGGCGGCGGCGGCGGCAATTTCTTGGCTGCTATGATTTAACGGTGGTTGTAAGATGTTGGAAGTTAGGGTTTGGCGGTGGCGGCTGGTAGTTGGTGAATGATAGAATTCGAACTAGTACACACACAAGACTCGGACGTGCGATTGTTTTAGAGGTCGAGCTGCCTGCCGTCTTCCCCCAATCTTTCGTTCGCTTTTTTTT